CCAAAGGAGACTATGAGAATGAAAGTCCAACTCATTTCAGAATATCAGGAATTTGTTTTCTCTAATTTATGAAACTTCATGCTATTGGCAAAAGTGCCACCTTTCTTCTGATGGATAGACATAGATTTTTAAGTCAGATATTTCTTTCCAGTGGTTCCAGTACCTATCAAATTTATATATGTTATGGTCTTAGCAGAATTTATCACACACAAGAATGAACTGGTATGACTGACAGTAGAATTGAGGCTTGGGAAAAACTGAACGTGTTGGCTGCTTCACTGAAAGACTCAAAGTGAAAGGCTAAGTTATTTTTCTCTTGATTCCTTTTCAGCGTTTATAACTGCTACTCTAAGAGATATTTTATTATTTTGTAAAGCTAGTGTGCCACCAGAAACTAGAGAATGTCAAATGACAAGCCCATAGAAAGAAGACTTTGGTTGTACTGTTATAAGAACAATCTGAACAGATCAGGAATAATTGATGAATGCTGGAAATTGCTTTGAGAGCTGCTATTTTGTAGCCACGGTGAGGATTAGCACACATTTCTTGTAAGAATGAAAACCGATATAAATTACATCTCAATACTGAAATGGGATATCCTATACAAGATATATGTGTGCTCATGTATCTGTATACACATATATACAAGACAGTGGAGTAGAAATAGAGAATAAGTGAGCAAGCGTAAGAGGTCTTTCCCCCATTAGGCAAAGTATAGTTTGACTATTGTTCTGCAGTCAGACTAACATCGTTTTTTTCTGGAGTAGGTAAGAGCTTTCCTGAAGAGTGGAATAAGTTAAAAGTGTGATATATGTACATTGCATCATATCTGTATGCTCTATCATATCTATATACGGTATATGGTAACATACAGATGATATTCATATGATAGACATATACAGCTGAAAAGAAATGACTCATGTCAATAATATGTTGGAGGCCTTCTGTGCTTTCCTATGAGATTTTTTTTGACATGCTTTGCTTTCTGGAAAACAGTCATGTTTATAGAATATTGCAAATAATCAGCTGCAGACGGTTTTTATTGTATTACCTGTGACAAAGCCGGCAAGCACTGAAGCGCCCATCTGAAGCAGCCTGCTTCTGTTAGCAGAGGAAAGAAAAGCAAGGTGCACATTTAACTCCCTGGTCTAAGTGAAACAGAATCACAGAATTGGTTTGGTTGGAAGAGACCTCTGGGATCATCAAGTCCAACCTTTGCCCTAACACCACAATGTCAACCAGACCATGGCACTAACTGCCACCTTCAGTCTTTTCTTAAAACACCTCCAGGGATGGGGACTCCACCACCTCCCTGGGCAGCCCATTCCAATGCCTAACGACCCTTTCTGTAAAGAAATGCCTCCTAAACATTACAGAGAGATGGACTATGGACTATCTCATCAGCTTCACAGGAGAGACTGGGTGCCAGGGTTTCACAGAGCCTGTTACGCTCTTGTTTGAGGAGGAGCGACTGGTCTCTGGGGCTCAGAATCAGCTCTCCAGTGTGTCCCAGCTATGACCAGTTGCTGGATGTGGGTATCATGGCCTTGCCTCTGCCCATACCTCCCACCCTCCCACCTTATCCTGCTCTGGTAGGATCCTACCTGTGCCAGGTGGCCCCCAGGAGCCCCTAATACAAGAGGGTCTTACCAAACCATCAGAAAGAGGAGTGAGAGCCCATCTCATATTGCCCACCCCAGTTCCACATGGCTGCGTTCAAGTCACTGACTGGTCCAAAATTCTTGTGTGCGGTTCTCTCACTGGCCTTTTTTTTTTTTGCTGCTCAATTTTGCTTGGTTCCAGTTAATTTCTGCATGTTTTTGTACACTTCCTATCAGAGGCGTAACAGTTTCTAGGGGGCAGCTGGCAGCGAAGGTCAGCCATCTGCTTGGTGACCATGGAAGTGGCTGATGCTGTATAAACTGAAAACAACAGAAGATGAGGTTTACCTGAGGGGTTAAAGTGGTCAGGTATCAGCAAGACAGAAATGCTCTGCGTAGCTGGAGCACACCAAGAACAAGGATTTGGAGCACAAGAAGGAGTAAAGGGAGCACCTGGGGAAGGGAGGAAGAGAGTAGGGATGCAGCCAGTGCAGAGGAACTTTAGAAATGCATTTTCTGCATGCAACAAATCTTCAAAATTCGAAACAAGCCTTTAAGTATGACTTAGTCAAGGAAGTAGGTGACCTGTGTTAACAGGAATGGAAACTGCCTGTCCCCCAGTAGGAGAGGAAATGGCAAGACTTTTCAAGACAACACAGTCATAAAAAGTGGTGGATACTGTGCAAAAATTTCAGCAATGGCTGGTGACTGAACTCCAGTGACTTTTCATTCCACTGCAGGGGTGGAGCAACCAATAAATGAAACGAGAAACTATAAAAATTATTCTTGATATAAGATATTAGCATCTGAATATTACTTTGTGTATTGCTGTTAACTGTTCCATTTAGTAGAGCTCAAAATCAAGCAGCTTCCTTAATTTACACTATTTAAAAACCAGGATACATGGTGGAAGTAGAATTCACTTAATTGCAACTTAATTGAAATATATTTGTCTGAGTTGTTCTGGGGGATTGGAATGTTGGAGCGTTAGTAAGGATTACTATAAGAAATAACACACTAGAAAAAAGTGAGGCAAGCAAATTGAAACTTAGTATGCCAAATTTCATATGCTAGTATGAAATTTGTTTTACAATTGTTTTACAAATATTCATTTCAGAGAGACCAGTTGCAAAGCATAACAAGGAATTAAAATGTACCATAATACACTACCTGAAAAGACTCATTTGAAAATCTGAGCGATTATTAAACAGTGGCAGACTGCTTAATAGCACATAATTCTCAAACCATAAGAGCTTTAATATATTAATGAGGTGAAGTGGTGAGTCCTGTTGCTGCTAGGATATGCTATGTTTGTGTACTTTATGCAAATCCAGAGAAGCGTTTTAAGCAATTGTTCTGTGGACTTAAATAAATACCTGAAGTTAATACGATTGTTTGTAAAGAAGTAGATCTGATGTCTAATTCAGTGGAGGTTCTTTTGTTTGTTTGTTTGTTTTTAAGCAAAAATCCATGTAGCTGGATGCTGGATATGTTTGCTCCCTTTTTATGCTATTTCGTCCCTACTTCATCTTTCTATATCATTCTACTAAAGTCTCCTGGGTACACTTGGCAGTTTGATTATGTATCATGTGTCTATTGAAAATATTACTTGCCTTCTCTGTTACTGGAATATTTGATATTGCTAGGGTTATCAATTGCTTTTAAAGTGAGTAGGTTTTCCCCATTAAAGTCCATATAGTGTCAAATATCAAATAATAGCATTTTCTCCTCACCCCTACTTCTTTTTGGGTAGATTTAAAGAGTTCTTTGCAAAGGACAATACATCTATTACTTTTATGAGAGAACTTAGCTTGTATGCAAGAGACGTATTTAACCTGCTTATCAACGATCTGGATGAAGGGGTGGAATGTGCCCTCAGCAAGTTCGCTGATGATACAAAACTGGGAGGAGTGGCTGACACCTGGACAGGCTGGAGAGTTGGGTGGAAAGGAACATGGTGAAGTTCAACAAGGGCAAGTGTAGGGTCCTGCACCTCGGGAGGAATAACCCCACGTACCAGTACAGGCTGGGGGTTCACCTGCTGGAGAGCAGCCCGGTGGAGAAGGACCTGGGGGTCTTGGTGGCCAACAAGTTGCCCATAAGCCAGCAATGTGCCCTCATGGCCAAGAAGGCCAATGGTATCTTGGGGTGCATGAGGAAGACTGTGGCCAGCAGGTCAAGGGAGGTTCTCCTCCCCCTCTACTCTGCCCTGGGAAGGCCACACCTGGAGTACTGTGTCCAGTTCTGGGCTCCCCAGTTCAAAAAAGACAAGGAACTACTGGAGAGAGTCCAGTGGAGGGCAACGAAGATGATGAGGGGACTGGAACATCTCCCTGATGAGGAAAGGCTGAGGGAACTGGGTCTGTTCAGCCTGGAGAAGAGAAGCCAGAGAAGGGATCTCGTCAATGCTCATAAATACCTTAAGAGTGGGTGTAAAGAGGATGGGGTCAGACTCTTTTTAGTGGTACCCAGCAACAGGTTAAGGGGCAACGGGCACAAACTGAAACTCAGGCAGTTCCACCTGAACATGAGGAAGAACTTCTGTACTTTGAGGGTGGCAGAGCCCTGGCACAGGCTGCCCAGAGAGGGTGTGGAGTCTCCTTCTCTGGAGATATTCAAAACCCGCCTGGACGCATCCCTGTGCAACTTGGTGCCTGCTTTGGCAGCGGGGCTGCACTGGATGATCTCCAGAAGTCCCTTCCAACCCCAACCATTCTGTGATTCTGTGACATTTCCTAAAAACCTTTCTAGGTTTCTAGCAGTTTCCACGAAATATGTTTGATTTCAATCCTGTTAAATTATGAAGATACATACTATAAGGCTTTGTTTAGAAAAGCTGAGGTGGTGGGCAAATTGCTGAGGAAACATAAAAAGATTAATGATTGAGTTCTGCCTGGCTCCCACATTCTCACTTCCTGAATCAGTGTAGCTGAGACATATCTTAAAGATGACACATATTGACTCTGGGGAGAGAGCAGCAATTATTTGCCTTATTATTTTCCATGTCAGGCAAGTAATAGAGCAATATTGTGCCAGCCAGTGAAAGAAGAAATTTCTAGCTTGTCTGTCCTTCAGCTTGAAGGACAGTTGTACATACTTCTCAGAGACGGGTATATATTTGGAAATTAGGACCTTACTGCAAAGAACAAAAATATTTAGATCTTCCACTAGATTCTACTTTGAAGCAAGACAAAATACCAGGAAGTACAAACAGTGCTCTGTTTCCATATTAATGCCCTTCCAGGGAAGTGGCCTATGGATCACCAGCTCTAGAAAAATTATTTTGATGGTGGTGGTGTGTAGTCTTTCTCACACAAGGTAGAGCAAAGGTGTTTAATGTCTGTTTAGTCATTCTCAAATATGCCTACATGTTGCCTTTGTTGGTTTTTTGTTTCATAGATATATTTACGATTCTTGGACTACGAGATGCAGAATTCCAATGAATGCAAAAGGAATTTTGTAGCAGTCTATGATGGAAGCAGCTCTGTGGAGGATTTGAAAGCGAAGTTTTGCAGCACTGTTGCTAATGATGTAATGCTACGGACAGGTCTTGGTGTAATTCGCATGTGGGCAGATGAAGGCAGCCGAGGCAGCCGATTCCAGATGCTCTTCACATCTTTCCAAGAACGTAAGACCCTAATCAATGCGTCCACCTTTCCGTTTGTTAAATGACACAAGTTGCAAGAACTGTTAATGTTTTCTTCATGCAGAGTAGTCACTGAAGAATGTTCCCGGACAAGCTATGTAAATATTCGGAACAGTTTTTATTCCAAGCATTTGCAGTGTGCAATAATTTGTAATGCAGTAGATAGAGCACAGGATTCTTAGACAGGATGATAGGTACAAGTAGTCATGACCTGTCCAGTCGTATGACTGCAACTTTTATCTGAT